CTTACTGAAAGAAGACTTCCATTTTTCAATGGAATTCATTTTCAATTGGATGGTATTTTGCCTGGCTTGGAAAAATGAACCATAAAAATAACCTGAAGATCTCATTCTGCATTACAATGGAATTTTAATTGATTTGAAGTGATAGGCCTTCTATCTCCTTCAAAGCCTATTGGCTCATGCTGCCAAGGGCAAGAAAAAAACAGAGTTGCTCTTCCAGGCTTCTCATCCTAAATCAATTCTAGGCTGATTCAATAGAGCCAAACCTAATTCTGTCCTACTCCTTAGAATATCTCACATTAGAACCTTTTACTTGTCTTTAAAAATATTTATCAAAATGTTTCTACATTATTCATTCATAGAATCCTAAGAAAGCTTAAATGATGAATTTTCAAAGGGCATCACACCCCAAATTATAGGTCTTTTCTTTCTCTCTAAAAAAATAAAGCAGCGCTGCCAAAAAGAAAATGAAACTGTAACATGTGCAGTTGCAGCATCCAGAAGTCATTTTCCAGGGTGATGACAAACACAGCAGGGATTGCATCAGATTCCGATGCACCAGTACTTGAACTGTGTACACTAATGACAAATAGGGTAAATTTGCCAATTTAAAGAGCACTGCAATGCTGGAAAAAAAAAAGGGGCCAAATCTACTCTGCAGGGAAGGGGGCTCACTGCACTATACATTTCTAATGATTAAAAAAAAAGGGGGGGGGGGAGTCCTCAGCTATATTTGTGGGATGCTTTTCCTTAGGATGGCACAGAAAACAGGGAATTCCAAGGAGAAACTGAACTCCCCTTTCCAAACTTTCTGGGTTACTGCACTCTTTTGCTCACAAAAGTTTCATTTTAAATCTGTTTTCCGATTAGACCTTTGACATTTACAACAATATGGGGGACACACTCTACGGCAGGATACCAGCTAAGGGATGCCTGTCCCAATAAGGCTACTCTCAAGGCGATCCTATCACTGTCATGACCATTAACAAATAACATGCGGGTCCTCGTCCTCCGGGAAGTTGGCGGCTCTGATTTTGCTAGCAGATTCCGCCTTTCCACGCCGGCACACGCCAGATGGGTGTCAAGACGCTAAAGGCGGAAGGGAGGAGCAGACACGCGTTTGAATGGGACGTTCAAGCAGACCGGCCAGCGCGCAGGAAGAAAACACGTGAGACCCCAAACAAAGCTGACGGCCCCGGGTCGGGCAGTGGCTCTTTTCCTCGCTTTCCCGCCGCAGAAATGGGTCTCGACTCCCCCCACACCCACACACCACACACACATCCGCAACTGCTCACTCACATCTCCTCCAGGCCCCGTCGGCGGCCACCAGCGCGTCCACGAGAGCCGGGTCCTTGAAGCGCTTCAGCTGCATCTCTCGCACGAGCTCCGGGTCGCCGCCTTTGTCAGCGCGGAAGAGGTCCAAGTCGAGCACCATGGCGGCGATGCAGAGCCGCCGAAGCGGAGAGGAACGAAAGCGGGAGACCGACGCGCGACTCGCCTCGGCAGCGAAAGGCGAGGAGGTCAGGACGGAGAGCCGAAGGGCGCCTGCGCAGTAGAGACGCAGAGGAAGGGAACTGCGCGCGCGCCTGATAGCGTTTCCCTGCCTGGGCGTGGATGAGGGAGCTGCGCCGCTCCCTGCCGTTTTCCCGAGTACAAGGAGCTCCTTGCCGAGGGAGCATCTGCTTGCATAAATGCAACGGGGAGCCGCTTTTACACAAGGCGGCTTCACACCTTCTGTAGCAAAGGTTTGGAGGGTAAAGCATGGGAATGGACAAACATAGGGGCGGTTTCATGACAGCTTATGAATTCTCCCCGACTTCAAACACTTCGAGCTCACACCATCTGCGTAAATTGCCTCTGGTGGCGATTATGGCTGGGCAAGCTGAGTGGGGATGGCGCGCTGGTAAAAACCCTTCGCATGTTAAAGCACTTCTTTTTCCTTTTTCTTGGGGGATGTTTTATTGACTGTAAAAGAACGTAATTGAGAAACCTTGGGTTTTGATACTTTTAAGACTGTAACTGCAAGCATCTTATAAAGCCTCTGTCACTATACCAAAAATGTATAATATTATACATTGTACATATAAAATAGTACAATATTATACTAGTACTATTATACTATGCAATAAATGTGTAAACTGAATCTGGGTTACCAGACTTTTTAATTGCGCATCATCTTCTGAAATCCACAGAAAAGACTAGGAAGGGCAATCTGCAGCCCTTAGGTCCGATGTTGCTGAGCTGTAAATCCTAGCTCTTCTCTGTATGTGCTACAAGTAGTTATGCGGTTGAGCAGCTTCAGGATGATGACCCATGCCAGCCACCTGTTTGATCTAACCTGCCTTTGGTTGGTTTCATTGTACCTGAAAACCAAATACAGCATCGTTGTAGGTTTGGATGGGAACTGTTGTGAAGGTGATTTATCAGTGTTTCATCCCAGATACTGCCACCATGAAAATTAATAATGGTATACCCATTCCAGTATCATTTATCATGCAATTAATCCAAAAAAGTATTAGAAAATAGGTTTCTAGCATATGTTATGTTAAATGTTTTACAGAGAGGATTATTTCTAATGTTCTCATTTCTCAGCCTTTTTTTGATTATTTCTCAGCTTTCTACAGGCTAGCATTCTTGCTGCCAGATAGAGATGACAGTGCAACGCATCATTGAAAAAATGTGTATGTAGATTCTCAATCATCGTGGTCATGTTTCTTTCTATCTAAGACAGTCCAGTTGGTTTTTTTTTTCAAAAGTCACCTCTGGGCCAACAAATTGGAGAATGGTGGAGTCAAAATATATCTTCTATGTTTTGGTTTTATCTTTTTGCTCCTAGTTGTTCTCAAGTTATCTTCACGCTAGGTTGATCAGAACTGGGTAATAACAGATGCACTTTGTGCAAATAAAAGGCCCCAGCCATGGCATCTTCACTACATAGGCCACAGAAACCCGAGATCTTATAGACCCATTATTAGATAAAATAATAGGACAGCTCCTGTTTTATTTCCTATAGCTTGAATAATAAACAAATTATAAAAGTTGATTAAATAGAGATCAGAAGCTTTTCTTGGTCTCTCTTTTTTTTTCAGCTTATCTAAAATGAACCAAAAAAAGGTGACAGCTCACATCAAATGTCATAACAGTTACATTAATCCTTAATCAAAAATCCACATGCCATGTTGTTTCCATTAATTATAAAATTGTATAAATAGAACCCAGCTCATTATGGACATAGAACAAAATAAACTGCAGTTTACCATCACAAGGCGGAAAAGCTTCCCCACAGATTTATAAGTATAATTAAATCAATTTTATACAGCATTGCAAAAATTCATTGTCATATTTTTAAGAAATGTATCATATTGTAGTCCCTGAATAGCATTTTTATGATTCATCCATGCTCTGAAAAGTCCTTAAAGATTACTACTGGAATAATAAAATATTTGACATATTATTAATCATATATTAAAAAGATTACACTTTCTTTCAAAACCCCAAAACATGTACAAAAATGTTGTGGAAGCAAAAATCCTCAGCATAATAAATTACAACAATACAAAACAGTAATGCTGTTATGCTATTAAATAGACAAAAGTATTTTTCCTGTCTTACATAAATGAAATTTACAAACGTGAATTACAGTTGGGCCACATTCTCATAGATGACATATCAGAAAATCTAGATGCTATACAGTAGTGTGTTCCCCAGCCTCTACAGTAGGTAACATTAAGTAATAATAAATATACTTAACGACTGGACAACACTCTAGCATTAATATCTTTTGAGAAAATATTAGAAAAATATAAGGAAAGGGCATTTCTGAATCTTAAAAAGTATGGCTGCTGTTCAAGGTCCATTTCCATACTTCTGAAAAAGAATATTCCTATTGCTCACTGCTCTACTATGGAATAATTAAATAGCTTGTTTTACACATAGTAGAAAAGCCATAATGTGATTTATTTATTTATTTTGCTTATGCGATGTGTGGTTGCATCCAGTATGGCTTAGCATTTAATATAATCAGGCAATTATGGCTTGTTCAACAAACCACAATTAATGTTTACAAATTCTGATTTAGTATTATATTTATTATATATGAGCCATTCATATATTTAATGACTACTGATACCATTAAATGGACTAAGTCTTTTTTCCCTCCTTGTGTTAAAACACATATTCAGCAACATACTGTCACTGAATGTGATTGATTATGTTAAATTGCATACACAAAGGAAAGCTTCAAGTATGCTATTTTGTTTGGACTGCTGCTATCACTAAGATTCCCACAAGATTAGTATTGGGCTTCTTTTTTAAAAAAGATTACTTTCACAACACATCTAATTTTCCAAACTGAGAAGAAAATGACACATCATTTAGAAATGTAATAAATACATAATTTTTAAGAATAGCTTTGTAGCCATGTCCCCATTATTGCAGCCTCTTTCCCTTCTTGATCCTCTTAAATTAAGTTACTGAAGCATCATGTTTTGATGATGCTGATAATATGAACGTTAAATTTAAGATTCTGAAACTAGAAGTGATGCTCTGAAATGTGCAGGTATGCATATCCACCATCTCTTTATGATCCTTTAAAGCAGGGCTGTCCAACCTTGGCCCCTTGAAGCCTGGCGGACTTCAACTCCCAGAATTCCCCAGCCAGCTTTGCTTTAAGCAAAAGCTTTAAGCAAAAGTTACCCAAAAGCTTCTCCTGCAGCCACACAATGTAAGAAATCCTGCTTTAAGGAGTCCTACACTAGTACTGTGTCTACGTTCCCTTATGCTCTAGAGCCTCTCTTTTGAATTGATTAGGAACACTGCACAATTCTGATAATGTATGGTTTAACACAAGGGATGGTTTTGTTGTTTTGAAATATGGTTTGAATTTAAGTGATCTCCTTTTTTAAAAAAAAGAAACAGTGGTTGAAACTAGACCTTTTCAAGATGGATAGCAAAAGCTTCATTGGGGCATATAGGCCCACTTAAATATTTTTTTTATTACAAACTATACTGTATTCTATCTAGCCTAATACCAGTCCTGCCTTTCTTTATTCCTGTGAGCTTTATTTGAAACTAAAAAAAAAAAATCTTCCTGTCCTGAGCAATAAGAAACTCTCCTAAGCTACTCTCATAACCACTGATAAATTTGTCCCCAAACATCTTACTGTATTACATGAGCGTAATCTTCCTATCCTCAGGCAAGCACTTTTATATGGAAAAGATCAGAGATTTTCAAAAGAAAAGACTGTTGCTTTTGTCAGCACTAGTTTGATCAAACTATGTGTATGTGTGTATGTATGTATATATTATGTATACATACTTGTCAGTTCCAGAATACTTTGATGTTATACAGTGCTAGAATAGTTCAATTTGTGCAAATGGCAATACCAAAGGGTAATTTTTCCTTAGTGTCCCTTAAAGTCCCAATTTCTTATCCTTCCAATATTAGGTTATCTCTGGCTTCCTTCCTGTGTACATTTTTCATCAAAATAAATAAGTCAGAACATCCTCTGATAGGCAGCTAGAAAAGAACCATGAATTTGATGCCAAATTGATTTGGTAATCCTAGAGAAGACTTGCCTTTATCTATTGTTTAAATAACTAAAGTCCAGATGGGGAAAACCAGTCCAGGTACAATGGTAGCCTTTTACAAGATATGTTCTAGTTAATGTTATTATGCCAACAATCACTCTAGCTTGCAGGTTTGTAACTACCCCATCAAATGAATTTGTCCTACCATATGTGTCCCTTGGGTGTTCCAAAATATGGCTTTTATTATAGACATTATCAAACAACTGGCAAGCCATAATAAAAGCTACATTTAACTTTACATATTGTGAATTGTATAGAATGTCTCAAATTATTGCAACTAGCAACAACTGGTTAATTTACATCTAGTACAGTTTCCTACTGGGTAAGAAAGCACAACTGATAACTATACTCTCAGAGCAATTTCTGCCTTCTCATCTCTATATCATTTTTAAGAGGCTGTCACAGTCTCAATTTTTTTCAATTACTATCACAGCAACAGCTATTAGGCCTTTCAACTGCAAAGTATACTGATCTTTAGGATTATAATATTTTTCAATTTTATCATGCATTAGTACCTAAGAACTATTTATAGAGTAAAAGCATTTAGCTTGTCTCATTTTAAAGCAATATTGGTTATCTCTCTTGAACTAGTATAGCTGCATCCCAATAAATGTAATCCATTTCAAACAATATAATAGTCCTGCTAACTGCTTTGGCAAAAATGGCTTAAACCAAGTTTACCCTAAATTGTGTCCTTCAAATGTGGTTGAATGCAACTCCCATTGCTGTCAGTGGCAGCATCCTGGTATACAGTCTGGGAGTGATAGTGGCTGTGGTTCCAATACTTCAAAAAAAATTTGATTGAGAAGGCTTGGTTAAACATTTTTTAAAACAAACAAAAAAAATGACTGTTAAAATCATGTAGTGGCTAGTTACCATTTTTTCAAGCACTCCATTATATAAGAATGGATACTTTCAAGATATGTTTAAAGTGGAATGTGGATAGAAATCTATATTCGGGGGTACTTTAAGTACATACTTGAAAAAGTAGTGAATTTCTTTTTACTTTTACAGAGTATTTGGACATTCAGAGGAATCTAAGGGAGATCTTTTACTTGGAGGAAAGCCCTACTGATTCAATGGGAATTATTTCTGAGGTAGAGAAGTATACTGTCAAAAAATGAACCTGTTTTTTGTATATTCCTCTGTTTTAACTGCAAACAGAACCCTGAAGGTTATTCTAACCTGCCAAAACAAACAAAGCAACAAAATCAGTCAATTTTAACTTGGCAATTGCCAGTTATTAGATGGTGCCTGAATCCCAAAGCCCAAATTGTTAGTCCTTTCCAAAGTGTAATAGAAGACATAATCTCTAGCTAGGTGCTCTGAAAAATTCTGACAGAGAATAATATCAAGATAAACTTACAACAGAACACCTGAACTCAAAATAGTAATGTTATCTTGGGCCATTTTCATGTATTAACACTCATAAGTCATTTAACATACAGTTGAAGCTCATGTCAGAAGGCCTTGTTTTCAGGTCTCCTGCACTGTCCTTTGTGACTCTTAAGTATTCATTCAAAATAATTCATGTAGTATTTAGTTTAAGGCAACTTCTATGATCTGATGACTTCTAGCTATGTCAAACTACAACCCCATTATCCCCAGCTAGCCAATATCTTTGAAGCGTGCCAGATTGGAGAAGCTCTTTAAAATTTAGAAGGCACTGAAAACAGCAAGAAAATCCGAAGAGTCTTATGTGACAGGAACCTGTTTATAGGATAAGCTTTTCTGGGTGGAATCAGGGCAGGAAAATGGCCTGAAATATTAAACAGACTCAATAGTTTCCTACAAAGAATGAGAATGGGTTTAAAATAGACATCTGAATTCAGAGTTGGAAACATGTTTCTAACAGCTATTCCGCTACCCTTGGATGTGATACAGAATTTTTCAAATATGTAATACCCTGATTTTGGTTTGCTATGCTAGAGGTTTTTCTTTATCATTGCAGTCATTGTTATAACATTTACAACTCACAGAGTTGAGGAATGTGATCTGGAATCCTAATCTGACTGAGTTCCATGATGTGGCAGAAACCTTATTAGGCCATGGAGTTTCACATATGCTACTGTCAATGATAGGTGCACCAGCAGCACAAGTCCTTGACCACAATGCATTTTCCTGAAGGGTCATTAACAAAACAAATAATAGCAGTTTCAAGTCTTGGAAAAGATTAATGTAGATATTTTTTCCCTGTTGTTTTAAAATAAAAGAACTGAAAATAGAGACAACAGCAGAATAGCCAGGTATCCTGACAGGGAAAGATAGGCCTGCTTTGTTGAGGAGTCCTGAATAGTACAGTAAAATCTTAGAGAGGCAAATTGTTTGATGTAACTGTTGTTATACTAGCTTCTTTAGGAGGGATGTTTGTTGCAAGCTACAAAAAGCAAATGGAAAGTTTCACAGCACAATTCTACACATTCTTCTTATCACTAAGACCTTTTGGTGCAATAGGTCTTACTCAGAGAAGCAGTTTATCTTAGCAGAGTGACATGACTTTAAATCAATTTTACAGTGTATTAGCTATTAAAGAGAAGATGTGTATAATGTCACTAGCTTTACTGTGGAAAACAACTTTTTGTGGGTGGGATTATCACAAAAGAGGGCACAATGTATGCAATAAACATATAAATATACATCTACACATAATTTTAAAAGCACAATTATATTTGGCACAGTTTGTTTTTGGACATTTGTTAAAATGTTTGACTTTAAAAAGTACAGTAAGAAGCTGAAGTTAAAAGATATTCCAATAAGGCCACATGGCAAGTTCATCAAAGTGCCAGTATTAATCAAGGAGAACTCCCAAAGCATCTTCCAGGAAATGTATGGGAGAGGCAAACCACTTCTAAAGATCCATGTCGGTGGTGCCAGAAGAAGTCTTCAAGGGCACAGAATCAAAACCATCAGATGTTCTCTAAAGGTAATACAGAAAGGAGATGTAAATAAAACTAGAATACATTAAGATTTTGTATACTTTGTCACTCAGTGTCCTATTTTTTTAGGAATCAGGTCATTATGGTGCCATAATCCTTTAGTGACATGGAAAGGGCAAAGAATGCAATCCTGCTCCTTATATTCACAGAAGATAAGAATGGCTCCCTTAATAACTTTGGTGAAACAAGTGTTTCCGGTGTATAGGAACTGTACACCCGTTTCAGATGTACAGGGACTATATCTTTCAGAGTACCTAGGCAGCTTACCAAAACTCAAGCAAGCTGGGAATTCAATAAATGCAGTACCAATACGTTAGTAGTGAGTCTATTATTTTTCTACCAGTTGCCTCCATGTTCTTCTGAACATATTCCAACATGGGAGGAGCATTCAATAGCAACTGAAGACTCTCTGATTCTTACCAGAAACTTGCTTTTGATGTTTCTTCCCCAGATGTCCACACATGATTTTGCTTCTACTGGGAGGTATCAGTGCACTGGGGGCCAAAGAAGGGTCCATTTGAGGATGCTTGCAGTTAAAGATACAGTTTAGCTGCCTGTGAATAGCACTGGATACTTCCCACAATCCCTTTTCTTTAGAATGACATCATTTTTTAAAAAAGTATATTTACAAATATTGAAAATGAAGCTGTTGTCAGTACCAGATTTTGGTATGTTTTGTTTACTCAGTTTTTAGTTCCTATTTCTGAGGTTTTAAATTATCCCAATTGCAATTTTTAATAAAAAGAATAAAGGAGCAAGCAACTGCTTTAAATATAAAAAGCAATAGGAGCTAATTAAGAATCAGTTTAGAACTGCTGAGGAGATAAATGAATGGGAAACACGTAAGTAAAGGACTGCTTAACAGAAGTTGCTTTTGAAAGAAAAAAGAAGGTATTTGTAGACTGAGGGCTTCAATTCTAGGTGTTGTTGGGAATGCAGAATAATATTTTTGAATAACCAAGATTTAGATATGGCCCGTGAAAATGAATGGAGAATCCTACACTTGGATTGCAGAGGAACAATCCTCAGCAGTGCTAAAGGTCCTTTGTGTGGAAGCAAACTGATGGATCTCAGTGCATTCAAATGAAGCACCTGGGGTGGGAAGAATGTAAGAGCTTCTAAACATCTTTGCACACAGTGGTTAAAGGAGCTAGGCTATAAGATAGGACCAATCCCACTCTTTGCCAAGCCCCTCTTCAGTATTCATCTCACTAGGGGCTTTACACCCACAGTTATCTGTGCCATGAAATAACCATGAGTAGGGTCATTACTTTAGAATGGATGAGAAGAAAATTTGAGGTGAGGAGCAGTCAACATTTGCCTGTGTGCATAAATGGCTTGCTAATATTTAAGTGCATATTTTTGCTGAATCATCATTGGGGGCAAACCCAAAATACTCAAGTTTCCCTCTAGTCTCAAGAATTGGGGGGGCGGGGATTTTTCATCTGCAAAATTAAATATTAAATAAATTCTCGTGTCTTATTGCAAGGGTCTTCAAACTTGGCAGAATCCCAGAATTCCTGAGCTAACATGACTGGAGGAGGAATTCTGGGAGTTGAAGTCCACAAGTCTTAAAGCTGTCAAGTTTGAAGACCCCTGTCTAATTGCATTCATGGAATTTAAGCATCTAGAGCCAGATACCATGCTCTGTTTTGGTTCTCCAGCTTTGCAGAAAGTTAGTGTGGAGCTCAGGCTCTAATTCCCAAATGAGGTATCTAAACAAAAGGCCAGCGGGCAACATAAAATACTCATTAGTCTTATTCTGAAGAGTGTTAACAAGAAGTCACTTCTTCCAGAGATAGGTCAGGACTCCACATCTTTTTTGGGGTTAGATATACAATCCTGTACTTGCAGTAGGAGTTTGAAGTGTCCTGTGCAGCCTTCCTTATCCTGACCCTTCCATCTACAGTACATTGCATTAAAAGTCAAATAATTTTAAGTTAACAGCCATGCTTCTTGGGAGTTCTTGAAGGTTGTAGTTCAACACTTCTGGAGCATAAGTTTGAAAAGGTTAAACTACTAGATGTCTTCAAGTATACTATTTCCCCAAATGGAAATAGAGATCGTGATATTCATCTCCAAGAACAGAGAGTCTGTGACTTTAAAAGGCACAAGACTAGCCTTCCCCACAATATAGGCCTTCTATGTCCCAGCCAGAGATCTCAGACCCTGCTGTCAAGCTATCTAGTAACATTTGATTGTGGAACACCCTCCGTAAGCTGTCCTGTTTTTACACGTATCTACATTTGATCTCCATCTACCTGGAAGATTCTTCCTCTTAGTTTATTGAGAACAGCCCTACACACAGAGTCCTGCCATGCCTGACTGTACCTAAGAGAAGCCTATAGGAAAACAAATAGCCACATTAGAAAATAAGCATTAAACGACAATGCACCATTAATTAGAATGTAAGTTAGAACAATAGGAAACATTGCAGTAAATATGGAGAGGCTTTGAGGTTTGATGATATTCACAGATTTATCCTAGAATAGTAGGGATGTTACTGCAATATTTTACTAGATCTATATGAGCTATTATTGGTGATGATCTCCTGCATCTTAGAAAATTTAATGTATTTATTATTGGGATGGGGAAATGCCCTTTTAACTTTTGCTACTCATCTCTGCCAGAAATACTAGCAGGGGAGAGAAGAAACAGATAATAAATAATCAGAGTTGGAAGGGACTTTGTAGGTCCATCTAGTCCAACCCCCCACCCAAGCGGGAGACTACACCATTTCTGACAAATGGCAGTCCAATCTCTTCTTGAAAGCCTCAAGTGATGGCGCTCCCACTCAAAACAAACACTCAAAACAATTCTATTGGCTTGATTCATCAGGCTTGTACAGTATGCAGCCTATGGTAGCCAAGAGATCATTAATTACAAACAGCCACAATTTTTTAAAAAATTGGCTTTTACAAAAAGACATACGTAAAATCCTGGGAATACTTCATACAATAGCTGAATTTAGAAAATGGTAACTCAGAGTGGACTCAAAAGTTAAACATGACAGAAGAAACAACTGTTAGATAAACACAGGAACTAAATCAAAGGTCTGAACTTTTACTCTGAACACTTATAAAAGCTACTTCCCCACCCCTCCCCCTTTCCCTTCCAGCTTACTTTAGAAGTGAATGCCTTTATTTTCCCAAAGAAAGAATTCTTGCTTGTGAATAACAGGTCGTCCTCTACGTCTTCCCCCTCCATGATGGCACAACTGTCAGCTGCAGGCAGTTCACTGTCCTTGGCACTAGTATTCATAACCAGCTTAGAGTATTTATATTCTAACCTAAAAAGATATAGATAATCAGTGAGAATCAGATGGAAGGATTATATTTGTAAAGCAAACTTTGGGTTCTTTTGCATCCTTCAGATACTCTATCAATGTCTTTACTTCTTTTTTTAACATGTTTTCTTTTTAAACTAGACTAATCTAGCCTTCCTCAAACCAAGTGATTCTGCTAATGTCTGGACTTTAACTTCCAGAATTCTCAACAATGACTACGTTAGGTGGAACATTAAGGCCACACATTAGCAAAGCACTAAGACTGGAGAAGACAATGCTGGCTTCTCTATTTCAAAGCAACACAAGCATCAAATGATGTTACAGATGCTAAACATGGACTTTACTATAGTTCTCATTCTCGTTTCTCTCTCTCTTTCCCCCATCCCCCCTCTTTTTTTTGAGAAACCAAGGAATATTTATTTGTTACAAATTTTCTAGGTTGCTTCAAATAAATAACTGAGCAATTGATAGCCTAACATAATCTGTTGTTACATCCTCTAACCCCCACTCCTTTAACCTCAAACTAACCACTATTGACCTCACCCCATTCCTAAGAGGTCTATAAGGGGCGTGCATAAGTGCACCATCGTGCCTACCGTCCCTGTCCTATTGTCCCCATTTATTCGTACCTATTTCTTGTATTCTTACTCATGTTTATACTTATATCTATTATCTTGTAAGCGATTGACAAATCAAATAAATAAAAAATAAAAATAATCCATATAATACATTATATTAAATACAAGTGTGTAATGGCTGAAATTTTTTAAAAAGCAAATAGAAAATAAAAACAAATTGCTAACATGCATGTAACTTTACCTACTTTTACATGGCCATTACCAAATATTAACATTTAGAAACTGACTTGCAGCTTTTGTTATCATCTGTTGTTCATAATTGTTTTAAAAAATTAACCAGGATGGGAGCTTTGTATAAACTACCATAATATAGAAAACCCTACATTTGAGAGACTAGGTTCAATGGATTTCTCATACAATGACCTTTTTTTTTTCAAGGCAAAATAACACACAGGTTATCACTCAGACAATTCATTATTAAATCTGAATGTTAATTACATCTGTAAATAATGTTCACATGTCTTTTTCCATTGGTTTATATCATTTGCATACTCTATGCCAGAGGTCTCCCTCCAAACTTAGCAACTTTAAGACTTGTGTACCTCAACTCCCAGAATTATCCAGCCAGCTGGAGAATTCTGGGAGTTAAAGTTCACAAGCCTTAAAGTTGCCAAATTTGGAGACCCCAGCTCTATGAAAATAATATAAAGTTATCCTTGCATAAATATGTCATTACATAAATAATTGAAATGTATAAAAGATATCATTTACTGTTTTAATGAAGTTTTAGTTTGCTGAGTCTATTAAACTGAATATTTCTGGTCACAGTCAGAATTGATGACAAGTGGAATGAAAGAACTCACTTTTGATTTTTCTTCCAGAAGTAGCAAGTCATGACGATTAGCAGGACAGCAGCACAAGTCCCAGATGAGATGCCCACCTTAAGCCAGAAGTCCATGGACTTGCAGATGCTGACTTTTTCTTCTGGAAGCAGGACACCTCCAGCACATAACTTTGGCTTCCGCCATACATAGGTGGTTCGCTAAAGTGAGGAAAGAGGATCTATCATAGCTTCAGTCTGATTAACAGCAACACAGTCAAGGTCAACTGTGACAGTGTACCATCGTGACACACTACAGGGATCTTGAAGGATACAGACACGTTTAGGAGCAAGTATTACTAAAATATGTTGCTGAGTGTCACAAGCCTTCTCTACCTGGCAGCATCCATTTTCCCCACTGTCCTCAGGCATATTTCAGTCCAGTGCTGACTACCATGGGTGGTTTATAATTTGAACTACTATGCATTTCTGTGAAATTCACTTGCCCTCTAAGTAAACATAGTTTGGATTTCCAGCAGATTTTTTTTCCTTTCCTTTTTCAATGTGGGATCTCTACTTGTTTTTACCTACATGTTTATTGAATGATTAGCAGTGAACAGTAATCTATTAAATGCAAATTTAAATGTTGTGTAGTGAGGAAAGCAGATCTGTCATAGTTTCAGTCTGATAAGAAGTTATTTATGAAACAAAAATAAAAGTATGAATGTAATAACTGTTTGGTACCAAACACAGTTTAGAACATCTGGACCCAAACAATGCAGAAAATAGCATGGTATTAGCTTGGAAGGGGTATTAATTCAAATGTAGTAAAAGTTTTCCTATTTAGTCATGTCCGACTCTAGGGCATGGTGTTCATGTCCAATAACATTTATTTATTTATAAAATTTATTGGCCACCCATCTTGCCTCAGGTAACACTTTGTTAACTCTATTACCAGATCAGATAAAGCTATATCTTCCAAAGTTATATATTGACCTTTTTTGGGCTATCCCTCATGTGGAAAGGATTTACAATTCTTGATGTCTTGATAAATGTTGAATATTAGTTTAATAATTAATATGCAAATAATATATTTGCTCTACAGTCATATTGACAGTCCTATGAGTTTCATCCCCAAATGTAGCAATAATAGCACAAGTGCAAAAATCTGAATATTCCAATTCCTGAATTGAGTTTTTTAAAAACTTCATCAATTTTCAAAACTAGGAAATTAAAAGCTACACAGACAAGAAAGAAAAGATTTGAGAACATTTTAAAAAATCAAGAAAGGAAAAAGAGGTGCAAAAAGAAAAGGAAAAAAATAGAAAAAAAAAGATTTTCAACTTTCTTTGATGCTGGTGTCAATATATCTTACTTCTATAACCCTTGTAGTTCTAACCTACCTGTATCCCTCCAATGCAGGCACTGATAATGGCATGGTAATCTTCTGCAGAACAGAGAGGACAGGCTTCAACCGACTCCCACAGGAAATGGAAAGTGCATCCATCACAGGTTCCATCAGGACACTTGCTATTTTGAAATTTTAAGAAACATCTTAAACAGAACCAAATAAAGACACACTTGTGCAGAGAGATCAACAGACCAAGAGCTAGCTGTTGAAGGTATCAGCAAAGATAATTTCCCAGTCCTACCATCAGGTATCCCTTAAACTAGTTCCCTTTAACCTAATGCTGCCCAGAAATGTTGGAAGTTGCAGCTCCTCTCAGTCAGATTAAGGAAGTTTCCCTTAACCAATGATCAACATCATACCTCATGTACAGATTATGTGAGAGCTGCTGAATTACAAAGTAGTTTAATCTGACCATTCTGATATATTTTATTGTCAAAGCATTTGTAAAATCTCTTTCTAAAAATATAGCTACTGTGAAGAATATAGCATACCTTCTAGAGATAGTGTTGGAAATAGTTTGAGAGATCAAGTTGGTAAATGTGAACAAACAAGCTTGATCCAAGAATGTATACTTGCCAAACTAGATAGGCAACTTCTGGTCCAGAAACAGGAAAAACTTCTGAGATCCTGGAGAGCTACTAGCACTCACTATTGACAGTATGAAGTTACACTAAATATACAATGGTCTGAATATTTCACAAGGCTATGCAGGTATTCCTCAACTTAAAACAGTTCACTTAGTGATCATTTGAAGTTACAACGGCACTTTAAAAAGTGATTTACGACCATATTTCACACTTATGACCATGCAACATCCGCATGGTCATGTGATTTAAATTTGGATGCTTGACAACTGACTCACATTTATGACGATTGCAGCATCCCTGGATGATATGATCACCTTTTGCAACCTTCTGACAAGCAAACAAATGTGGCAAGAAAAGTCGTAAAATGGGGCAAAACTCACTTAACAAATTTCTTATTTAGCAACATAAAATTTTGGGCTCAATTGTGGTCATAAATTGAGGATTATCTTAGTCTGCTGATAACTGTAGAAATTCTCTCAGTAGTACAATACTTTTTGAGGCTCATTCTCAAGGAATACATTCAGAAGCTATATAAGCACTAATATTAAGAAATCCCACACTGCCAAGCAATCCTTTAAGAACAGGGAGGTTCCTCCTGAAGCAGAGGAAGGAGGGAAAAAAAGTATCTTGCCATTACCTTGGTAAAGAGAGCAATCCAAGCTCAAATTTTAGGGGGTCACATCTCAACCTAATGGTAGTTACTCTTCCATCACGGCATGTCTGGGTCACATCCTTGGATCTGAAGTTCAGAAAAGTCATTATCTTAAGAAAATCTAAACCAGGTTTCCCCCAAATGGTCAATCCTCTCCAATATCCAAGGGGTCAATGATCAGCTCTTCCTCTCACTCGACCCCCTCCTCCCCTTTGACCCAAACAGAATGGGCATGTCTTATACAACTCTACATACTTTAGGTCCATGTGCGTAGTTTGGGGCAGTCAATGCCCTCTCATTGTCAACAAAAATGCAAGGAATACATACAAAATAACATTGCCAGTTCGTGAATCACAAATCAGCTACCAGCTTTGGCTACCTCACTTTGTCAAATGCAGATAATTCAACACTAGAGCAACAACAGGATTTTCTGCTATATTATTTCTGACTATGTTCTGGTTTGGAAAGTAAGATTTCACCAGCTATAAATTTCCCAAACTTCTCCAAAATCCTGAAATATTGGCAGGAAATTTTTGGTCAGAAATATACAATTTTTTACTTGTTTGGTAGTTCTTTAGCTTACCTATAAAAGAATATGACATCAGGTAAGTCCCCATTTTCAGCAGGGAAATAATCAGTATGAGAAGTTATGTTGTCCAGAGTAGGTTTTGTTGTTACTCCTAGAGATTAATCCCAATTAATATGAATAGCACCGCATAGGAAAGATAGAGAATACATTTTAAGGATAAATACATTTCATTCCCCAAAATATATTAAGTTAAAGGTTTTTTGCATCAGAAGGTAAGTCCCATGTTGTATTAATTACTGTGTTTGAGTAATACATTTGTTTTGTCCATAGTTGTTCTCAGGAATTGAAACTGGAACCAGAGCATCTAGCAGGTCTTGATTTATTTTGCACAATATATCACACAGCTAATACTATGTGACCTGTTTTTAGCTGTTTATTTGCCAGTTCCAAAATTTGTTGTATATTTCACCTTATTACAATAGTCTAAAAAATGAAGAAGTAGTGTTGAGTGTGTGTGTAAAGCATGATGAGTAGTATGAACTATAACCTTGCTTTTCTAAGAATGAGAAGAACTAAAGTGAAAAAGTGCCAAGAGGCACAGATAATTTTATGGTGACTTGAAAGAAGGACCTGATACCCACAATGACCAGGATGGTGGGGTTAAGTGTGGGAATGAGTCTACTATGAATGTGTATGTGTGGTCAAAATATTCTGGCTCCCCCCCCCCTCCCAGTCTCTGAATCAAACCATTAATAGTCACAGACTGTATCACTATTTTAAGTTACGGTGTTTGGAGAGAAGTCTGGGCAGTGGTAAAAAGGGAATCAGTGAGCCTCAAGAAACTGTGGAGGAAGAATTCTACGAAGAATGATGGAGAGGTGATGGAAAACAGAACAGAGAATGGACATCTGGTGCTTTTTTTTTTTTTTTTTTAAGAAAAAAAGGATCCTCCTGCTATTATGGTTTCGTTCTTTTGTGCCAGTGATTAAAGTGATTCTGCCAATTCTGGGTCCAGATTTGGTTCAGTATGTTTAAAGATCACCTGTATGGCACTTTCATCTGGCAACTGCTTTTGACTTCTGTTCAGTAAAGAGGCTAATTTTTTTTCAATGGCTCTCACCCACAAAGGTATCCGCCAGGCTCACAGGCTGAGAAGAGACCATGGTTTTGTAACCCATCACTTCGGAAGGAATCATGACAGACTGGCATACATAGGATGAAGTTGACTTTGAGAACTCAGTGCCTTTGTCCAAAATATGAATATCTGTGACATTATTTACGCAGAGAGCAGTCTTCTTTCCCTTCAAGAAAAAACAAAATGAGAGACTTGATAGCAACCCTGTCTCTCACTGCTACTAAAAAGTGAGGTGCTCTTTTTGAAATATTGTACAGGTAGTCCTCAAGTTACAACCATTTGTTTAGTGATTGATTGAGGTTACAATGGCACTGAAAAAAGTGGCTTATGACTTATGAATGTTTTTATGGCTTTCCACCATTCCAGCATTCCCATTTAGTCACGCGATAAAAATTCAGATGTGTGGAAAGTGGCATGTATTTATGACGGCTACAATGTCCTCGGGCCATGTGACCAACTTTTGCAATCTTCTGACGAGCAAAGTCATCGGGGAAACTAGATTCACTTAACAACCACAATATTCTTAACAATTGCAGTGATTCATTTAATAACTATGGGAAGAAAGGTTGTAAAATGGGGGCAAAACTCACTTAACTGTCTTGCTTAATGATGCAAATTTTGGACTCAACTGTGGTTACAAGTTGAGAACTACCTGTAATCATAAAAATATATGGGCACTGTGCTGCAGAATTGGGGTTCAAAAGATGTACAGGGACAAACACATTTCTCTGTCCAAGAATGTGTGCATCTCCCTGCATTAATTAGAGCTGTGCAAAAGAGTGTCAGGTTTGCATTTGCTTAAATGTAATAAAAATTAATAGTTTTCAAAAAAAATGACCTGTCTTCCAACTTTTCAAAGTTTTGTTTTCTTTGCAAAAGAGATTTTTTTTTGTCATTAGTGTTTTAGAAGTTATTTTAGAAGTTATTTTTTAGAAGTATTATTATGAAACAGTCGAAAATGCTGGCATTATTTTTTTCTGCTAATATCAGCTTTCTCACCTTCTCTGTGGCCAAACTTTTTGCCTATGCTTCCTTATCTGACACCCTCACCCACCACTCTTGCCCTGGGAGCAGGGTTGGGATGCTACCAGTTCGGCCCGGTTCTATAGAACTTGTAGTTGCGAAGAGCAGCTGACACCGAACCGGTTCAGTATTTGGCCCATCCGCCTGCCCGGGCTCTAGGCTGTCCTTTATTCCCTGCTTTTCTGTCCTCAGCTGCTTTGCGCAACACAGTTGAGGTTGAAAAACCAGGAAACAAGAGGATTTTCAAATGCTGTGCACCCGAACGCAGCACTTGTCAGCTGTCCAAGCGGCACAGCTGATGATTTCTTGCAAACACTGCACACACAATTGTCCCCAGTTTGGAGAACCGGCAAATCGCTCCACTGGCTGGCCCCTCCCCTCCCCGCCCACGCACTCCTTACCTAGCATGCGAGCCATCCAACTTGCCTGGTTTGGTAAGTTGCTATTTTTCATTTTTTTTCCCCACCATCAGCTGTTCTGCTTTGCCAGGAGATTTAGATTAGCTAGAAAGGAAATCCTTTGATTTCTTGCTTTCTAGCTAATCTAAAAGCAGAGCCGAACCTTCCTTAGGACTGAAGCTTTTCAGTGCAGACTCAGGTAGCCGATTGCAGATAGATAGATCTCTAAGGTAACCTGTGATTCTATGAGCAACTCAATCTGCCGGCCTGCTTTGGGGTAAAAGTTGCACTTTTTTTTTTTAAAAAAAAATCAATATTTACATACATGGTGTGTTGTGAGTTAATTTTGTGAGTTTGCTTGCTAGCAACTTTTATGGGTTTGTTTGCAAGCAAATTTAATATGACAGATTCAGATAGCCGATTGCAGACAGATAGATCTCTAAGTGAATCTGTGATTCTGTGAGCAACTCCATCTGCCTACCTGCTTTGCCTGCTTTTGGGTAAAAGTTGCTCTTTTTTTATAAAAAAAATCAATATTTACATCAATATTTATAATATTTACATAGCCATGACCACCCAGTCACATGACCACCAAGCTACACCCACAAATTAGGCCACATCCACAGAACCAGATGTTAAGAAATTTGAATCCCACCCCTGCCTGGGAGGCATTCCATTGTAGGTTAAGCTGAAGAATGGGAAGTCAATGAGGATGCAGATATGATCATATAATAAAATAAAAAACTCTTGCACCCACTGTTTCACCTCAACCTTGGCACCTTTAAGATGTCTGGACTTCAACTGCCAGAATTCCCCAGCCGGCACCGTTAGCAGAAGTTGCCAAGGTTGAGAAACCCCGCTTTAAATGGACAAACTACACTATCTCCAGTGCTTCCATTGATGCTTGCCTCATGAAAATACACATATACTTACATAATTTCCACACAGGCTGATGTTGAAATGATGAAAATACTTCAGGCCTTTTGAAGTAAAGCTTGGCCCTCCTAAAAAGGAGGTGCTGTTAGCCAGTCTGGAGAAGTTATACTCCAGAGTCCTATCCTTCTTGCTGATTGAGAAGTGACAGTCATTGTAACACAGAGAATGCATCTAAAGACAGAAAGAAAACACACCCCAGCAGAAGAATTTAGAAACTGTTGACTTTGTCAGCAACTGTAGAAGGACACTCAAGTGTTACTGAGATGTCTATCACCAGCTCCAGAATCCCTTAAGGTTCTGCTCAGACAGGCCTTGCTTGGCCAAACAACCTGGATGATTATAGAAAACAGAATATTGGAGAGGAAGAACTTAGCAGGTCTTGTGCTATTTCAGTTTCTAAGAGAATATAATTTTATTTGTGTTTAAGAAAAATCTACATCGATTCAATAAAACAAAAATCCATACAAATTATTTTATGATTTGAGAGGATGAAGTTAAATCTAATTTTCTTCCAAAATACCTATCATGCAATTCTTACATATAACATTTTACTCTTCTTTCTGAAAGATTGTGTTCACTGATTGATGAACTAATTTAGCATATTTGATTATTGCTATTTATACAGCTACACACACTGCCTATCTATGGCCACAAAAGCTATATGAGAGTTTTTTTTAAAGATTGTAATGATTTAATAACAGGATCAACATTTCAGATTCAGAATATTCTGTAAATTTATTGCCAACCAAGAGATTGTACCATGCTCAGCACTATATGCTGGAAGAAAGGAAAGACTACTTTTTTGAAGAATAGTCTGCTCTTTGTGTATGCACAGTGTACATCTAAAAATGTAGCTCCAAAATAAACCAGGAGTATAGTTCTGAAGCTCCTACTACTGTTGAGCAAACAGAATAGTTATTTCAGGTGAAGGCAAGTTTTGTTTGCTATTTTATGCACTGAACTTTGGATTTGGCATTCTAGCACCCACAGCGCTTCTCTCTCACGAATACCATCTTATGTCATGAGGAGAATACAAAAAATAAATGGCGAAAATCTTGTTTGAGCCCCAAAATTTAATACAACCTGGAGTGAGAAAGTTAAAATCTCCAATGAGTTTGGACTTTTGAAGTTAATTTTGATTAAATATTGAGCTTCTGTGCACTGTTGCAAAATCATGCAATGACACAGGTACAGTATTTATTTAATCTAATATATATATAACTATCCTTCTCACAGAGGTGAATTTGGCCGATGCACAAAGAATGCTATCCCTGGGTTGGCTCTTTGGGTTATTAATGCTGGCTGACAAGCAACACATAGTCCTCCACTTAGAACAATTCATTTAGTGACTGTTTGAAATTACCGTGGCACTTAAAGTGACTTGTAGCCATTTTTCGTAGTTACTGTTGCAGCATCCCCATGGTCATATGATCAAAATTCAATTCATGGTATCCTTTGTGACCTTCTGACAAGTAAAATCAATGGGGAAGCCAGATTCACTTACCAACTGTGTTACTAACTTAACTACAGTGATTCACTTCACAGATGTGGCAAGAAAAGTCATAAAATTGGGCAAAACTCACTTAAGAAACAGATATTTTGGGCTCAATTATGGTCATAAGTCAAGGACTACATGTACAGTATTTCATAAGAATTCATATTTTATGTAATGAGGTAATAGATAGCTAATTTGGCCATCTGGAAAATTGTCAGAAGCACAGAATAGTATTTTTTCTAATGTTATGTAAGCTGCCTGTTGCAAACTCCTTCATTATAACTGAAAAGAGCCATAATTTCCTGATTCAATAGGTGGAAATTAGAAAGTAAAGAAGTTTCCACTTGAATGTGCTTTGGGATATATTGGTTGGAGACAAAATGCAGTTGCTGACATTCTTAAAAAAGCTCTTCTCAGTGAATTCTGCTAAAGAAACTTTCTGAGAGTTGTGTTAGGAGAAGGATCATGCTTGGTTTTGAGCAGAGGTCAGGAATCTGACAAATTGCCATTTTCTGGCAATGTATCTGAACCTAATACTTGATTGGAATTTATTGCCCTGTTATTGCTTTCGTTATTTTAAGTGACAATCCTTTGTCACCTCCAATATTTGCACCCCTCATGTTGCACTTTTATTCAAATAATGATGGAGCTCCAGTTGTCATAATACAGAAATTATGAACAGTAAAGAGGACAATATACTACCTTGTTACTTTTTGTGCCAGGGCCACAACGGATGCAAGCTTGATTGCCATAAGGTTGGTGAGCTTTCAGGTAAGTGTTTGATGGACATGGAGAACAACCACCAGATGTTTTGTCAATGTAGTGCCCATGAGGGCAGGAAGTACAGGATGAGCCAGAGGTTTCCAAAGCACACTGCCGGCAGTAAGAAGCTACACCGTCTATGACATTGGTCACATTGATGGAGTACAATCTGGCAACATCATTTGTGTATTTTCTTCCCTGGAAAAAAACATAGAGTGTCACAAATGTCTTGGTGAAGGAAAAGTATTCAGTTATAGAGAAGGCAATTGCAGGTAATAGTGGGCATAGTCCTAACTTTAATGGCCCCTATTTCTAAGAATAAACCTACTTTTTGATGAGGATCATTCCCTAAAAGGATATTTGAAGAACTAGTAAAAACAGATTTCTCAGTCTTTACCGCTTCGTTGTATGCTGTCCTCTGGAAGGCCCACGTGAAACTCGTAGTAGCATTCTTCTCAACAACGTACGTATAGGATTGTTTTCCTTTGGAGCCAAACCAGGTTTCTACAGGGGAATTGGTTCTAGAATTCATACCCTACCAAAAATGAAATGGTATAAATCTATGAATAAACAATACACTTCAATAATTCTTGGTTTTAGATGTTGGATAATAACTTACCACCATAAAATAAAGTTCACAATTCACACTGCAGATGGTTTCAAAGACAAAAGTGATTTCTGCTACCTTCTTATTTTCAGAGTCTTCCATAACTGATTGTGGTGGACTGCAAAAGAATAAGCAGAACTCATAAATTGTAGAAATAGCTATAGATGAAACATCTCAATTATTGCTGCTTACTTCAGTAACTAGGTAATCAGAATATCTATTTTAGTAGCCAGGTAATCAGAATATCTACCTTCCATTTCAAATATATTCAGAACAAGATATTCCAATAGAATCATACTTCAATCATATAGATGCATTCTATGATTCAGTGTACAGCATGTCAGTCACTCTATGCACATTTATTTGGTTGTGACAAAACAAAATCTGTGCCCAGTTTTCAAGATCACATTTTAAAATTCTGTTAAGAATCAGCTCGATCTTTCTTTCATTGTCTCCTTCTGACATTTGGTATTAATCATTGTGAAGTAATGCAAGCAGAACACTGACTGGGAGAAGTTAAATTTGTTTATGCAGCTTTCTTACTAACAGTACAACAGGGGTTTGCCACTGCATTCTTTTGGACCCTTTCTATTGATTTTTCAGTGTAGCATAAAGCCTTTGTATTTCATAATAATTTCCCGTCCATGTCCTAACCAAATTCAGCCCTGCTTAGTTTCCAAGCCCAGGCAAGGTTAAACAGAAGCTACTGTTGACTGAAGCTTACCTAGAAATTAAACACAGAGCTTAGATTAATGCTTCATTTATACTTTCCATTTACAGTACTTATTGCACCTGCTCACATTGCTTTACCAACACATAGCTTAAATTGGACTAGTGACATCACCTGAAGCCAGGAATCACCAATGTTAAAATCATGAAATCATTGTCAGAACCTCCTGCAGCTGTGTAGATGTAGTCACCTGCCACTTCCCACCCTGAAAATAAAAATCAAGAGTTAACCACTTAACTACAATTTGAAAAAAGGATATTCTTTCCATTATGTAATATCATTTTATGTGAAATTTTGTGCATTCTTTTCACAGAAACTCAAGGGATCTATTGCTTTGAACTTATTCCCCTAACATTTTCAAACTAGTTTCTCTAGAAGAACTTGGATCACAATTTGAGAAGTTTTTCAGGGATCAGGGCCACTACTAGCTGGGGAATTCTGGAGGTTGGAATCTCAACAAATCTGGAAGGAAGAACTCAGATCATTGAAAGTTGTGATAACATATAGCAATGCAGCAGAGGTCAGTTGAGAAGTGCATATTAAAGGTGCTTCCAGGAGCGGAATGGAGAACTGAAGATGTATCCATGAAAATAGAACTGACAACTGCCGTGAAAAACAAAGCCTGTGGATAGACCATGGATAGATTGTGAATAGAGGTTCTTCAGAACTTCTCTGAACAAAGGAAAGACACGAGGATGCCCACATGTGCTCCAGATGGCTGCTCTTCAGGAGACTGAATAACAGCTATCTTCAATTGCACATTAGAATTAAAATTAGAATTAGAAGAACTTTATTGTCATTGTACAAGTACAATGAAACTGTGGATGCACCCCAGCAACTGTTCCCAATACAATAAAACCAAAGCACTTAAAAATGAAGATAAGAAAGATAGAGTACCCACGTCTCCATTTGCAATATCTACTGAGAGTACAATATCTACGAATATACACAAAATATACATCCAACACTGATTGTAACGCTTAGCCGAGTATAATACACAAGAGATGGATTGTACTGTAATATGTTATTATACATCTGAATGGGGTATTGAGATTTCACATCTTTTCACATCTTAATGAGGTAGTGACTTCATGTTTATTTGTGGTTCGGATGGCCCAGGGAAAGAAACTATTTGTTAGTCTAGTGGTGTGGGATTTTATTGACCTAAAACACCGTCCAAACGGCAGCAGGTCAAAAAGATAATTGCCAGGGTGTGAGGGGGTCTTCTATAATGGCCTTGATTCTGCTTTGGCAGCGGGTCCTGGCTAAGTCTTCCAGGGAGGGCAGAGCGCAACCAATGATCTTTTGAGCTGTGTTTATCACCCTCTGTACAGTTTTCCTGTCCTCAACTGTGGAGCCTGCATACCACACACCTAGACAATATGTCAGAGTGCTCTCCACAGAGGATTTATAGAAAGCCAGCAACAGCTTCTTATTAACTACTTTTAAATGATTATAAACCCTTGGAACAACAATTTTGGAAACACTGGATAAGTCTGCCTTCAATTCTGAACAGAATAAATTTTTAATCACAGGCTTAAGAATTCAAAGTATGTGAAATAAACAGCAAAAAGTTAAATAAGGTTTTGAGCTTAGAAAGCTATAAATGGATTAAGAATCCAGATAAAATTGGAATATTGTAATTTTTACAATAAAAATTTGAAATTAATTATAAAGAACACAAAGCTTCTCATGATAAATAGATTGTTTTTGTTTTTGCAAGCATAACAAAGTAAAGGAATTTCATAATTTCAAAAAGTGGACACTAGAGGGACTAAAGTTTTTAAGTAAAGATTTACTAACCTGTAAAATGTAAAATGATGCAAAACATAATGAAAAGACAGGAGACTTTTGAATAATGCAATCAGAAAAGAGTAGCCACAATATCAACAATATTGATAATGATGTCTTCATCTATGGACACACTATGTCCAAAAATTGTTATCTACAGATGTAGAACAAATTTTATCTGACAAGATAGAGATAGTATCAAAAGTGGATTTACCACTGACAGACCAAGACAATGACTTAGAAAAGGAAGTTTTCAAACTGGAAGAGGTTTTCTAGATAAGAGATGGGATCTAAGATGAAGAGACAATAGTTTGTAACTTGAAAGTGGATGAAGAGTCACTAAATTTGTTTATACTTATAGTGATTCAGATTGAAAGTCATTTATATATTTCATTTTTCTTATTGCATTCTTTTTTTTCTTTTTTCTTTTTCCTTGCAATAAAACTAAAACCAGAAAAATCAGGAGATTTAGAGATGTTGATTTCTGAGATAGTCATTCAACTCCTGTAATATTTGGTTTTCATCATAGAATCACATGGTTAGAAGGGACTTTGGAAAAAAAAGTTCTCTAAACCTAGGGCAGGGCAGAATCCTCAGACCATTGCAGACTCTATACAGTACAATTTGGTTTGAAATAAAACCTCTTTTAATAAGAATCTCAAGACAAGTTCTTTATAACCTTGAAACAAGTCTAGAACATATATGGCTCCTAATTATGGTTGCTTTTCTGGTGCTTAGAACTCAATGCAAATAGAGTTCTAGAAAGTCGTATTTTTGAGTTTCTTTTGTACATGTAGTCCTTGAGTTATGACCAATTTGTTCAATGACTATTCAAAGTTATAAGGGCACTGTATGAAGGGCCTTAAAACCAGTTCTTGAAGTTCCAGTTGCTGTAGTACCTCCATAGTCACATGAACAAAATATGGGCATTTGGCAACCAAGTTGTTTGCCAAACCTTTTCTGCCAGCTTCCCACAAGCCAGGTTAATGGGGACACCGATAGGGAATATCATAAGTCACTCAGGAAATAATATGAAGTTGATTTCTTTGATCAAGGTTAAAATAGAAATGTAGTTATCTCTGATAACCCTTAATGACATCAGGACTTAAATGATGAGAATGTATGGATTTGTTTATAGAAAAGAAATGGATAGGGCAAGGCTGTCAAATTCCCGGCCCGTGGGCCAGATGCATCATGGGCTGGCCACGCCCATGCCCAGTTTAGCAAAGGGGGAAAAATCCTGAGATGTCATATGACGCCACTGTGATGCCGTGAGTTTGACACCTCTGGGATAGGGGAAGAATAGATTATTTGTTATATTTTAAGAGAAGGTGATAAATTACTAAAATTATCTATAGTTGTTGTGATGAAGTGGAAGTCACATTGTTATTTCTTTTCTTTTTCTTAACTATATTTTTACTTTTTTCTTTCCCTTCTATTTCCCTTTTTTGTTCTTTTTTTAGTTTGTATTAGTTTTTGCTATTGTAATCTTTAATAAAATTACTATTTAAAAAACCCTATTCATTCCCATAAGAATAAATAACAAGTCCAGGATTGGTTTGTGAACTGTCTGATGGTGCAACCTAATAAAGACACATAACACAACTAGGGCCCCTTGCATTAGCCAAATGCATTAGGTAAAAATACACATTGGGAGGATACCTGCCATTCTCTTATATTCGAAACTGATTCCACTGAGAACTGTGGTCTCCATATTAGCTGGCAGCGTGTTCCACCATTTGTATTCAAAGCCTAGTGCGGGCTCGGTGCCAACTGGACAATTGGTACAACCTGAGAACCAAATTTAAAACAAACAAACAAACACCAAACACACAGTCAGGAAAAGAATCATACTGCTAGTGACAGTTTTTAATTGGTGCTGCGGTTAATGGCACTTTCCGAAACAGTACAGCTATGATAGTAGCAGCCTTTAAAAGAGTCCTTTTAAGAACATCTACTAAACTGATATTTGTCAAACTTGGCAACTTTAAGACATACAGACTTTTAAGTCCCAGAATTTGAGACATGCTGGCTTTGGACTTGTGGTAGCTGAAGGCCACATGTCCTAAAGTTGTCAAGTTTGAAAATCACTGCATTAAGCATTTTACTCTGGGTTAGTTTTCTTTTGTAATGTATTGAAATTGTTCGTGAAAGCAGGCAGCATTTTTTCAGACATATAACTTGTAGAACAGTTACAATGACCTTTCAATGGTTTTTTTTTTTTCATTTGTTTTAATGAAACAAATTGTTGTACAGGGAGTAATTCTTCGTGTTCCAAATTAGTCAGCTATATCAAGGTCAGGAATAAATCAGTAATACCCTGTGTAAATCATCACTAAAGTTCTTGACAGAAAGATTAGCTTTGTTCATTTGGCTCTTTCTTATTTTCCTGCTTTGTGGATGGTTCATCAAAGAAAAAACTGTATTATAGTGTACTCGAAGGCACACAATTTGGAGCATCATACCGGGGAAGATTAATCTAAGTAAAACTAGGAATAACCTCTCCACCAGTATTATTTATAGTCCCATAGCCCTGTTGCCTATCGAAAGAGCAATGAATAAGGGGGAAAAAGAGAAGAAAAGCTCCCACAATAAAAGACCGAATTTTCTTTTATGCCAATACTGAATCCAGGAAGTGCCCAGTTCATGCTTTTTAGAGGCGGTTCCCAGTGAACAGAGCCCGATGTCATTTAAACCATTTAGAGAATTACATTTATGTGAGTTTTACCTAGTTCAGAAGGGGAAAAAAACAGAATAGCATTACCAGACCCATTTGAGTATTTCCCATATGGACAAGGCTCGCAGGTGCTGGCATTTGTTTTAAAAAACCCAGGATTACAAGGGGGGCACATCATCTTTACACCCGATGGAGGTAATTTCACCGCCTTAGGGAGATCTTCACTGCAGATCTTTGGTTCAGCCCATTTATACATTAGCTGTGTCTGTGAAGATAAAAGTATCACTCATTTATCCATTCAGTCAATCAATCAGTCAGTCATTAATAGATAAAACATTTTACAGCATCTTTATATGCAAAAGGATTTATAATTGTCACTTCTCATACAGTAGTATAAACAATTCCATGCTATATAGATATTTTGGTTCAGAATTCCAGGACTCCCTTGTTGCTGGTCATATTAACTGTGGCTAATGGGAATTGAAGTCCAAATTATCCAAAAAGCAAGGTATTATACATCGACAGTATGCAATGCATACAACTACAGTACTCTAGAAGTTGTTGAACTAAAACTTCCAGTGTTGCTAAGATGAGAACAATTTTCACAGGTATACTTATGGTATACTTTATTTCCCCAGATATATACAAACATACAAATACATATGGAGAAAAAAAGGACCATAGACTGCCCTTAGCTTTAAGTGAAATTTTCTACCAAAACCTAGAAGCAAAACCAAAAAGGGGGGCAGAGCCATGATCAAAATGGCATTTGGTTCAATTTGATTTAATAAATTAAAATTTAAAAAATATATCATTCATCATGATTACTGCTCACACAATTAATAATCCTTTCTTCCTACCACATATATTTAATAATTCCCCCCTTCTCTCAGATAACATAATTCAACCTAGCTACACAGAGAGAAGGGATTTTGTTGCTACCTCCAAGAATTTTAGGTGGCCCACACAGCCCTTTGAAGCTCCATATTCAATACTTGTGGAACAGGTAACAAATATTTTGACTCTCCTTAAAGCTAAATAAACACTGGCTATGTGGGATGTGTGAACTAATCCTTATCTATTTTAGGTATTGGTAATCATTTTGATTATTGTATCCACAAGGAAATGCTTGCTATTCCCTACCTTATTTATATGCATATGATACTTTGCAACAGAAACATTTTGAATAATGCTGATCATCAAAGCTGTGCTTCAAAAGCCCCCCCCCCCCCAAAAAAAAACAAAAAAAAAACCTGTATGGAATTCTAGAGGTTGCATACCTCCCCATTTTCATCACAGGTAGTGTGGGTATAAAAATAATCCTTATCTGTACAGGCTGGGCGAGACTTGCAGGAGGAAGAACCTGGTTCTTTATTGCAAAATAAACAGCAATTAAATCCATGCAGACATGAGAGACTCAGAAACATTTTCAGCAATAAGCTATAAAAACTATAAAACTATATATATTGCGTATACACACACACACATCTCCTTCAAGGATAACATTGATAGTTATCTCAAGTCACTGGTGGATTAATGTGGCATCATCAACAACAACAGTATGTTTGAGAGTAAGGGAGATTTCTCAGTCTTCACACGTTCTTTGATTACAATTATTATATCCAGTCAGCCTAGCTACTGCTCAAAAATAATTAAAGGGATGAAGTTGAGGCTATAAAACCTTGAATTGAGAGTTCAAATTATTTGCTCAGTGGATTAAAATATTCCATACAGCTACAAGTTGGCTCACACTGAATCTTCTATCCTTTTCCAAGAATCCACTACATCTAAAAAAGACTCAACATGCTTCCATATAGAGGTCTCCTAGGGCTACCATATCATATTTCAGAACCAGTTATAGAAAACAGTAGAATGTTGTATGGAATTATAATCCCATTAAATTATGGGAATGGTGTGGAGTGAACATACAAGTCTTTTTAAAAAGTACTCCCAAATTTAAAGGGTCCACCTTCTCTTTTCCTTCTCCTCTTGTCTCTTTATCCAACTTTCAAAATTGCCAGTGAAGAGTATAAGTACAAATAAACAATGTTGTAAATTTTTTGGACTCTTCTTAAATTTCTAATTCTCTGTTATCAAGGTTTCAAAGAGGCCTGAACCAATTCATTGTAAACGAGACTCTGATTTGAACAAAGTTTCTACTGTCTTTTAATCAATATGGCAGGAAGAATTCAAACAGTACAGTACTGTATATCCTAATGTTTGTGTTAGCAAAAGCACAGAGTGAATATTTCAACTTTTGTTGTTTTTCTTTTTTGTCTGAACTTTGAAATTTTGAATTTTGAAAAGTGCCAGAGGAAGCTGAAAGGAACTAGTAAATCAGGTATGCTAAATTATCGCCTGCAGCTCTATCCCTGTAGTCCCCCAAGATCACATTATTAAAATTCAGCAGCAAGATTTTCTACAAATTTCAAACACAAGAAGTAATTATAGGCTTGTTAAGGTTATAATTTCTTTTTGTTCTTGTTGTTAAACCCAAGAACGCTCCCCCACTCAAATTATTTAAAGAGGCCTAAAATCCTAGGCATAGTCCTTCCATTAACATCTCTGCCAAAATCTCTGTGACTCTTGACTGTTAGAAAACTTATTAGAAAAAAAGGCAGTCTCCTGCCTACCCTTGTGGCTGATGCTGAATGAGACAGTGCCAACAAAGTGAAGTGGGTGGGGTGGGGGAATCTAGCATGCAATATTGTAGAATTTAGGGCAAGAATATGGCAAACACAGACAAAAATGGATTAGAAATATAAAAGAGAATGATACCTGATCTTCAGTTTGTACAGAGCAGGTGCAGTGAAGTTAAAAAGCAAAGAGGGGCTGATGTAAGATGACAATTTATAAATCTAAATCTATCATGGCTGGAAATGTGAGATAACTTGCCTAACAAGTATAAAAAAAATCAACTACACATCAAAGAAATGGCTGGGCATGGAATGTATTACCTGAGTAATTTGCTGGTTCACACTGCTGGCAAGAAGTAGCTCCTTTGGAAGAAAAAGAATTTGCTGGGCATTGCTGACAGAAGGAAGAACCAGATTTGGCAGTGTAGGTGCCTGCTTTACAAGGAAAGCATTCAGAAGTATAAGCCACACCTAGGGAACATGGGGAAAAAAGAAGGGAAACATGTATGCAGCAAGCAAAATAATCCTTTGAATGCCAGCAGCAGCAGCTTGCACTATGAACTAAATTAGAGATAGGCAATGCCTTTTTGACAAATGGGACTAATTTCACACAGATAACCAATCAATCAGTCAAATGAGGTCCCTCTCATAAAGTTCCATCTCCTATTTCCAAGTCCCCTCACCCATCTGTCACAATCTGCAGCAAAACTGTACACCTGCAACTGCAGTTCTGCCCTGACCACATCAAAACACTCTGAGAGAGAAAATATGGAATATAGAAATGGTTGATTGGAGAAGTCTTCAAAGTACTCATGTCTCTCTGAATCACCTTCTTCTAGAACAGAAGATGGTGAGTTTTGCTTTGTTCAAGGGGAGCAGAGAAGCTATCTGAGCCTGTCATAATCTTGGTTCTCACCATTTCATTTGATCTAGTGCAGGCACTGAGAAAACACCTACCTGTAATCCCAATGTTTTTCACCAACACAGGCTTGGGGGTTTTGGACCAAATAGAGAAAGCTGTTGTTTTCCAGTACAAGACATTGTTGCCACGACTCAGCTCCACCTATAGATATTAAAAATCTAGTTAAAATGCTCAGACAATATATATATATATATATATTGAAATGCGGTGCTAATTCCTAGTATTTCGTACATTTTTCCTTCCTCGAGTTACTGCTAGCTGCAGTTTCAAGTTTAAAAACATTGTATACTTACACTGTGTTTCTTCCAACCTCTCTCTGTAGTTCTCATCCATCGAGAATCCTCCACAGTTGGTTGACACTGATCATTCTGCACCTACAATAAATGGTGATGCAGATAAGGGTGTTATTTCTGTTCATAGGAATAGAGATTTATTGGATTGTCCATAGCATCTATTTAAGGTGACACAATTAAATACAATTTGAACATATGCTCTACTTTTGATGCTAGATGGAAACTTTGTTTTACAAGTTTGTCCAACTAATGATATTTCAGAGGTTGACTAAGTTTTTAGAACTGCGGTACTTTTCAAAGAATCCTAAAAATCCTGTGGAATATATACAATTCCCCAAGATCTTGTGTAAGAACATTAAGAAATAATGTAATATTTTACATTCTTTAATATTAATATTAAATGAGTATTGGTTACCATTTTAGCATTTATAGCTCAGTCTCTAAAAATGTATATATTTAAAGCTTCACATTGAAATACAGTATGTTTTTTATTACTAAAAAAAAATACAGGCTGCTTAAAGTGTTCAGACTGATTCTACCACACCTAGACTTCTTTATTTAGATTGTAACATGTGAGTTGAAATCTTTTAATGTCCATTTTATTGATCTATGGAAACCTTCTATTATTACTACTTTCAATATAAAAGAATAGAGCCACCAATATTAATTAAAACAACACTTAAATGCATTTCAACATATTTTAGTCTTGCAAAGTCATCAAAAGTGCATTTTGAAGAACATGCCAGCAACAAGTTCTGGACTAGAAATAAATATTGGAAAAGTTTTCTTGGTTATAACATTATTCTAGTTACGGAAAGAAGTGCCAAAATAACGAAGTTGTTTCTTCAAGGAGCACACAAAGCTATCACTTTGTTTTGAAAGCTCACTAGAACATCATGATTACCAAAATTCATGAGCAAATACAATTCAAGAAAGAAAGTATATCTGGAAGGTGTTAACAGATTATTGCAAACAGATTATTGGACATGAATTTTAGTGGTGTCTGATTTAAATAAAATAGAAACAGTTTTATTCAACCCGGGAGGGGATACCAGATCACATGGAATGCAAATTCTGGAAAACAGTGATTAGTTTTTGAAAGGCAGCACAAACTGAAAATTTCTCTTACATAAAATAAAACAATCAAAACCTAGACAGAATCTTTTAATTGAATTGCAAGAAACATACAAAGAATTCAAAGACGATGTTGCTGTCCGGGTAGATGTATTCAAAGGAGACGGTCCCAGATTGCTTGAGGTTAACAGCGTACATCAGAGTAGCTATGCACTCATCGGTGTTGGAGGCAATATAATCTCCCTTAGGAACCCATGTTGACCTGGAACAGAAGAAAGAGCCCAGGAGTTGTGAGAGTACTACTGCACATCACCAGCAAACAAGTATTCCCAAGACATTAGAAGAGAGTTACATTTGAGAGACATTTGAGAGTTATATTTGAAGAAGTTATACAATCAAATGCCGGATCTTGTATTTCCACAGAAAATGGAATAATATTTATGAATGATTAATTGTAATTTGTTTGTATCAGGTTTAATTTGGTCTTGAAAACAAGATTATGTAACAAAAATTATACTAATTTCATAATGAACAGCATATAATCTATACACTCATTTCTACTATATGCATATATGGATAAAGCCACCTGAAGACCAAAGCATACCGATTCAAGATTGTGTGTGTACAACGTAATGCAATCTTGAGAAAGGGATATGGGTACCTTTCTTTTTGCTTAACTGATTATGTTGGAAAGCCTTTGTCCAGTCTGAAGTATGGCAGATGCAGATGTCTGTGTGCTTAGAAGGCACAAAGTTGAAAATAACTGCTTTAAAGTATTTCTTGGACTAGTTTCTCTCTTCCACCCACCCACCCCCGATAATTTTATTAATTACATTAAACATATATAACAACCTAATTCAGAAATATATATATAAAAAAGAAAAAGTAGCAAGAAAAACAAAATTTCTACTAGACCAGTTTTTTTCATATAAACAGCATAAAGGTAAATCACTACTGAGAGATAATTTGGTGTACTGATTACCAGGCTAGAAACCAAGAGACCATGAGTATCAGCCCCACACTAGGGATGAAGCTAGCTGGGTGACCTTGGGCCAGTCTCTGTCTCTCTTTGAACTGGCAGGTGCTCACCTTGCTTCAGTTTTCAGTTTTTTCCCCTATTACTTTCAAGTAAAGAAGATGTTAATGTTTGAACAAAACCTAGAAATTCAATCTAAAGCAGAAGAATCAAAGTACTGGTGGTAATGTACAAAAGAGATAGTATTATTCTGAGCTTCCATGCCTAGAGATAAATTAACTGCAATGTTTCATAAACACTCCTACTCAAAATGCTGTCAACGTTTAGAACCTGCAGCCCTATGGTCACTGGCTGGCATATAGGTTGATTTTCAAAACAGACATATCCTAGCATTAATAACAACATATTCACTCACTTGGTGCAGTTTCCCAAGAGGTTGTAATCAATTTCAAAATTGGTCGCTGTGTTGGCAAATCCATGGGGCAACTCATCCCATTCATCGAACCTGACACCAGTCCCAAGAGAATAAGTGCCCTGTGCACATGGCTTGCAAGACTGATCTTTCATATCCAAGAATTCACCTGCTTTGCAAGAAAATGCTGAAATACAGAAAACCACCAAAACAAAATCAGGGTGAAAGATGAATCCAGACCAACACAGGTAGCTTCAGTGAATCTGTTACAGATGACTTTATAGAACGACACTTTCTCATAATACCTCTGAGTTATGTTTAACATCTGACAAGGCTAATTTTTTGTTAGTGAAAGAGTGAATTTGTTAGTGATAAAGTGAAAGACAGAAATGTTTGTTAGCCACATTTTATATTTTCATTGCATACATGTTTTCATTAGATACTGAAATGTAACTGAAATAAAGCTTTCTCCCTCCCTCCTCCCCTCTCTCACACACACAGAATTAAAGACACTAAGGGTTGTTCCATATGACCAACCAGCCCACCCCAAAGTTTCCATTCTTGGAAATAAGTTCCATTCAGTCAATGGGCCTTTTAAAAAAGTGAATATCAAACTGTACTGTAAGACTTTGTTTTATATAAAGACAAGCTATGTTTTCCCATGTACATGAGTAAACTATGATGAATTTCATGTTCACACAGTTCAATCATTCTTTTCGTCTTTTTTCCCTATTATAGGTTTAAGCATCCAACCAAGGCATGTTTTAACCATGATTTGCTAGATTCTTGATTCTTAACGAATGTATGGTTTTTTTATGTACACTGAGAGTATTTACATCAAGACAAATTCCTTATGTGTCCAACCATACTTGGCCAATAAAGAATTGAATTCTATTCTATTATTCTATTCTATTCTATTCTATTCTATTCTATTCTATTCTATTCTATTCTATTCTATTCTATTCTATTCTTCTATTCTAGATAAGCTAAAAGAGATAGATGGTGAACCTATGGCACACATGCCGGAAGTGGCACTCAGAGTCACTTCTGCCAGCACATGAGAGGTCGCCCGGAAGAGCCCCACTGTGCATGCGTGCGCGCCGCCCACCCAACAGCTGATTGTTGGGTATCTGCTGCGCATGTGCAGGGGCGTGGGAGACACGCACGCATGAGCAGAGATGTGTGGCACATGTGGGGGGTCACGTGCACATGTGCAGGGGATGTGGGGGCCCCCACATGCATTGCCCTCTGGGTGCTGGCATGTGAACGCACACGAGCAAACATGCACACAATTTTCGGCACAGGAGTCCAAAAAGGTTAGTCACCACTGCTATAGGTTAAAGCTCATATTATCTGAATTTGCCTACAATTGAGTCCAAAATTTCTGTTAAGTGAGACATTTGTTAAGTTAGTTTTGCCCCATTTTATGAACTTTCTTGCCACAATTGTTAAATGAATTGCTGCAATTGATAAATTAGTGACCTGGTTGTTATGTGAATCTGGCTTCCCCTTTGACTTTGCTTGTCAGAAGATCACAAAAGGTGATCACATGACCTTGGAACATAGCAACGTTCATAAATATGAACCAGTTGTCAAGCATCTGAATTTTGATCACATGATCATGGGGATGCTACAGAGGTCATAACTGTGAAAAATGATTATGCCACTTTTTTCAATGCCATAGTAACTTTGAACAGTCACTAAATGAACTGTTGGAAGTTGACGTCTACCTGTAACATTGAAATTGTGGGGAAAACAACACAAAACAGTATGGTGATGATTCCTTTGTCTAAATAGAGATGGAAATTTGGGCATCCTAATTCCTTTTATATGATTTCCCTATGAACTTTAAAAAGAGAGCAATTGAATGATCTAAAAATGAGCGAAAAGATTCATCTGATATTTTGTATTATTTAAATATTTATGTCCTACTCTTCTTTATAAAATTCAGAATTAACAATGCCAGAGTAGGCTATTGCTCATTAATATGCTAGCTCCAGAAACCCTTTAGGCTTGTGATTGATAGAATGATAGACTATAAAAAATAATGATACATGACAAGATTGAGGGAAGGAGAAGAAGGGGAAGACAGGGAAAGATAAAATAGATGAAAAGGATCAAGCAGATGACTAGAATATTCTTGGCAGATCTATATTGCTACTAGATACGGTAGATAATTCAAGATGGAAACCAGTTGAAGCAACTTGATGATACCTTATGAAATGATTATCTGTTAGAAGTGGGATGTATGTTTCTGAAGATACTATTACTTCTAATGATTGATAGGAGCACTGGAAATAACAGCATGCATGGAATATAATAGAAAGAACAAAAAGAGCTGTGTACAAAAATACTGGTTTCAATTTTTAGGTTCCATTTGCTAACACTGTGCTATAAGTAATTCTGTATTATTGGAATAAAAATGAGCAATTTAATGATTAAATTTAAATCAAAATTATACTTCTAAGTAAAAGTTGTATGTTCTTGTGTAGGTGGATATAGAATGTCTCTTCTAATATAGTATTTGCCTTTATCAATTTTTAGAAACATATGCATAACAAGCTTACAATTCTTTGAACATATTTGTAGTCCACTTGATTTTGGACAAATTAATTAATATCTAACGTGGTAGTCCTAATTATAGTTTAGTCACAATTTAAGGATTCTTTACTGATGAGCTGCCTTGTATACAACATAACATTTTAAATCTCTGAAATGCTTTTACCTCAGATATATCTCTGGTCAGAAGAAAAATATGACAGAGATAATCTAGGTCAGTTGCAAATTTACATTTCTCCCTTTTGAAATCTTCAAATATTATTGGAATTGAGGAATAAGACTACATCCAAACAAAGAAATTGTTACATAATTCTATTGAAATGACAGTGTTGCCCCTGCTCTTAAACCAAGTATCTTGTGGAGTAGAGTAACCTTTGTCTCTGCTTCTGATAATGTTTGAAATGTCAAAAGAAAGAAATCAGTGGCGAACAAGAAAGATGGGTGGCAGTAATCATGACTTACCACATTCTGTGCCTTTGATGGGATCTGGCAGGCCAGTGCAGAGTCCTGGGGTGTGGGGCACAGCAACTCTCCATCTGGAGCCCAGGCTGTCACATGCTGTGTATTCATAATGGTACTCAGACTGAAGGAGAGAGGGAAAAAAGAGAGAGAGTGACCAAATAACAGGGTGTGCATTTAGTCCAGATGACAGTCAATTTTTTTCTTATTTCAGAAAATTGTTTCTCTGCAGGACATAAGAGAACTTTATTATTTTAAAAATCTATAAACTACAGCAGGGGTTAAAAAAAAAAAAAGAATCCAACTCTCCAAGAGATTTCAAATCATATTTTTGATGTGAAAATAGTATACAAAACATATCATGGGCCAGTCTTCAAGTTTCAATTCCTAGAGACTTATCATTTCATGATCTAATACACTTACTTCTAAATGTATAATGATTTCTACGGAGGTAGCCAGTTAGCCAAAGCAGGAAAAACAGCAGTTTTGTAGCATTTTAAAGACTAAACCACAATCACTTTCAGAGAATGCATCAGGCATTTTCTTGCAAGCCATGGCTACAAAACTTGGAAAAAAATTTTTTGGGGGGTGGGGGGTTGGAGAGGACTGCTATACATAGTCAAGAGATATAGAAAACTAACTTGTGGTTGCCATCTAGTGGTTTTCTGAATGTTGAAGACCAGACCTTGAGCCCTGTTACACACAACTACCTATCCTAATATGCCTACTAATCAACAACAGATTGTACTACTGACAATACTACAAAACTGTGAAATCCAGATTCCAAAACTATTTCCTCATATAGCAGTAGAATAGGACATAATAGTATCAGCCCAACTTCAGAACTTTGCTCCAGTTCTAATTTTATATATGACTATTGTCGACCAGTAATGCTGGATTTTACAGCAAGCAAACTAGCCAATCCCTATGTGAAAAATAATTGAAGCCAAATCTAACATCTAAAGAGTAAGTGTAGCACTGAAAATATTTGTCAGTATGTGTGGGTAAAAGAATCAACGTAAATTCAAAAGTGAATTGCTACCAACCATGCAAAGGTTTCTGTGAGTTTGGGCATTGCTGGCAAATTAAACAAATATATTAATTGCATATTATCACCCATCTTTCTCTCTGTTTCTCTCATACATATTCAGGGAGTTATGTAGTTTTTGATTCAAGATGATAGAGGAAAACTTTCTAATCTATGAAAGCCCAATTTGAAAAAGAGAACACTGGTGATCTTCTAGGACCAAAATATTTGTTTTGATATCATGTGTGCTTGTATGTGCCTCTCTTTACTATCATTTTAATTTGCATTGGTCTCTTTAAGACCTAAATATTTCACCAAACAAAATTATGTTTATTCTGGCACAATAGAGATTAACATAAATGCAATGCAAGTTGTTCATGAAACACTTCCCTGAGAACCCAGGTATGAAGTTTTCCTGAGAAAGAAATATAACTTTAGTATTCTAAGTAGATGAACACTCAGAGTATATCTGTGTCATACAGTACAGTATTCTAATCTAAACAACTTCAATTGAGCATAAAAGGCAATGCAAGTGCATAGATGCACTATACACTATAAATGCAGAGTCCTGGGTTAGGCTAATGCCATATTGCAGGCTAATGCTACCCAGTCTGAAGTTTGATCCTGACAGTGTTCAAGGTTGACTCAGTTTTCCATCCTTTCAAGGTTGGTAAAATGAGGACCCAGATTGTTGGGGGCAATATGCTGACTCCATAAATCACCCAGAGAGCACTATGGGATGGTATATAAGTCTGCTATTGCTATATAAAAAATTCTTCCACTTCCTTGCCAACATACTGTAAATTGTTAACTGGGGGCAGAGAAGAAGTACTAGGAAATAAGCCAGGTCCTTTTAAGTATGATATTTCTATGTTTTTACTGGCTAAATAAATCTATCACTGAATTTCTGCAACAGAGATTTTACAGATTGTTCTGCATATGTATTATGATATTTCTTCTAACTATAAAATGTGGGCATGTTATGCTAAGCTTGGCTAACCAAGCTACAAATAGCCTGAAATCTTTATTACATCCATGGGTGGAATAAGAGGAAATGTACAAATGGGTTTGATAGTGAGCACTTTGAGTTTAATTACTGTAACCGCAGACTAGATGTAGTTAAGTTACCCAGCTATTTTTATATTCTATGTTTTAATATAATCCTAACATTGGACTGAAACCTTTCACTATCCAGGAAGTTTTAATAATTACCTTGCTCAAATACAGTAATGGTTATAAGGTCAAGTTGTCTAAGTTCTGATTCAATAGAAAGCAAGCATATAGCTGTGCCAACAAATGACTTCAGGCATAACAACCATCACCATCTGAATGCATGATTATCTCCACAGGGAAGCATGCTAAGACTGCATCTGTCACCTGTCTAACTGCCCTTACTTCAGACTGATCCTAGTTCTGTAAAAAAAAAATCTATAGGTAAGACATTGTAAGGCAGGAATAGCCAATCTATGTGAACTGAACTACAGTATGTAGCATCCCTTAGTACTCCATCTCCATCTTAGTGATCCATCCCCAGCCTCCTTTGAGCTCTTTGAGAGAGTTTGACATGACTGGCCAGGATAAGATTTTTTCCCCCCAACCCAAATAAAAGCCATCCCGGGATGCCTCTCTCTTTCCATAGTCCACACAGTTCTTAGAAAATAGAAACCAAGCTTTAAATTTCTTGTTAAATAAAAGCACTACAGAACTATATTGTCCAGAGAACACTTGATTTCTTAGCTAGCAGAGTGCAGAGCTCTGGCCTCCCAATTTAAAGATTAATCTAGGTCTGTTTGGAACACACAAAGCAGCTTTAAATGAATGAGCAACAACAATAAAAGATAGCTCTAAATAAATATTATTTTCCCCAAGATGTGAATTTCATGAGGATCGATCAAGCCAGCACCCTTGCTTTCAAAATATATTTTCTAACCTGGTTTAATCTTATTTCTTGGACCTTGCTGTGTACATCCATATGGAAGAACAGCTGTTACATGGGCAAAGTGTTCTCTGCAGCTAATCACCTTGAAAGCCAATACCTTCCCAACAGAGGCCAGGAAGGGATGTTTTTGCAGGAGTTAAAGCTAACACTGAAGGTGAATGCGGCTGGAAAATTGATCATAACTGTATGACAAAACACAAAGGCAATTTAATGCTATAGTTAAGTATTCTATATCACCACCACCCTTATCTTAAAAGGAAGAAAATGGCTTGGACCTTAAAGTGCAGGAACTTAAATATGTTATTTTGGAATCCTTTTATCAATAACAAATTCATACATACATATACAGTATATTCAAGACCTATTTTATCTGCATAGGACATGCCAAAGCTTTGTAAACACAACAGTAACAGTGAAGAGGGACCACTTTTCTTTGTGTTTAATTTTTATCTCTGCTTTATTATTGTTTATATATAACTGAAGGTGGTGAACACACCCAATATTGCTCTGCCTCTTGTTTTTCCTACAGCAACTTTGTGAGATTATAGCCTGTATTGTATTGAGCTACAGACTTGGTATAGGTTCTGCTCCCATTTGTCATTCACACTTGTAACTTAATATGTGCATAAGGAGCCTACCTGTGCAGAATCAAATGTACAAAGACCTTATCTGTAAATACACAACCACTGTACTTTTGGAATCTAAGAAATCTTGACCTGCAAGCTCTTAAGAAAATGAAAAGTGGATAAGAGATCAGGGCTTTTAAATATCCCAAGGCAGTAAAAGCAACTGAAGTTGGGAGAGAGGTCAATATTGTCCCAATAGGCAGAGCACAATGACCTTCTGTATATTTCTGTAAGCTCTCTTCGACTCTTCCCCATTAGATCATGAGATAACATGTTACACCAAAATACCTGAAGCAACCTAGTTCTACAACAGAATTAGGAACAGTCTGAGAACTAGAAGCAATACAACTTTTTTTTTTAGGACTGCATGGGCCACAGTAGTAAATTATGCAAAATGAGGTGAGCTAAACTTTTTTATTTTGGTTTTTGAGGGGAATTTTAAAGTGTTGAAGTTTAACACTTTAAAGTTTAACACTAAAGTTTAATTTAACTCTAACAAATGGAGTGTTTTTAATTGTTATTTATTTAAGTTAAACCTGTTGCTTTAGATTTGAGTGTTTTGTCTCAAAATGAAAGGAAAACACACTACAATTTTCAGTAATTATGGGAGCTGGGACAGTTATAAAAATGGGATTTGGTGAGGTCTTCAGTTTACCTACATGTAGACCAAAAGGGCAGTTTTTCAGTGTAGGGCTCTAATTAATTTATTTGTTCAATTTATTACCCTCTCAATCACCAAGGCAACTCTAGGCAGTTTACAGTTTAAAAAAAAAACAAGTTTAAAACATTCAGTAAGACAATATCACTCATCTCCTTGGGAAACCAATATTGTAATACAAAATAAGATATACCATGCATAGTCACAAAATGTCCTGTCTCAGGTTTGAAAAAACTCAGGTCTTAATGACTTTTGTTTTTTAAGGACAACAGAATTGAAGCTTTGCAGAATTCAGGGGATGGGAATTCAGGGAATTCAGATCCATAGGTCTGAGAGGGTAGAGAAGGAAAATTGCTGAGGTCCTAAAATATAACATTTTTTACTGATGTGGCCTGGAACACACCAACCAAACAGGGGGTCTGGAGTAACCCAATAATTTCCCTTCTAACAGTAACTATTCATAGAGTTAATAATAGTAGCCTTAGATTCTTAGAGAAACCAAATGTATCATTTTGGACAGAAAGAATACTTTATGCAAATAGTTTTTTGTTTAAAAAAAAGAAAAGAATCATTAATAAGAAATTGTGTTGGGCATCCCAGAACTGATTATGGAAAGTTCTCTGTTTTTGCAAGCCCAAAAGTTTTAAAACATTAAGAAAAGATTGATGCAGAAAGGGGAGAACAGAATGTTAGTTGCTGAAAATCATTGCAATATAAACTATTCTAAGCATAATCAAGAAAGTAGGACCACTTTACAATTTCCAAATGTCAGGCTAGTTTCCTTAAAGAGTAATGGAAATCTAGTTTCTGAGGAGTATATATACATTATATAAAAAGGCAGTCTCCCCTGCAAAAAACAAAAACAAAAAAACCC